AAAATGTGCATGAGAAAAAAAATTTGTATGATTTTTCTACATATTATTTCTGTGATTCAGAAAGCACTTGTTTTTATTTTTACATCAGTTTCATTTTTAAGAAAATTACAGGGCAAGATTTGTGTTGAGACTCTACCTTGTTTTTTATTTGCATTTACGAGGGTTGTCCGTAAAGTTCGTGGACAAGCTAAGAATTAAATAAAAGTTGCGTCATTGATATTTATTATTAGCATATTTCTAATCCTTTACGAAATGTGAATTGAAAAATGTAAAATCTTTTTCAATTTCAAATGTTTATTTTCATTTATGGCTTCATTATTAGACTTGGAATGGAGACCAGGAGCACTGCAAATTTAAATTAAAAAATTAATTATCACTTTATAAATTTCATTTGTATTTTATAAAATTCTGAGGAAATCTGGATGACTTTCACATTATGAGGTTGACAGATACTATCACGTCAAACATGCAAAATTTGAACGTTCAAAGTTGTAAAAAGGCTGAGCAACCATAGTTAAAACTTATTAAGACGGATCGAAATTGTTCAAAATAAGGATGTTTTTAGAATAGGTGGAGCAGTGAGTAGTAATAAAATTCTGTGGAGACATCGGATAAACACCTACAGAGACAAGTACATTTTGTTAACAATCGGGAAAACATAGTAAAAGAAACCGTACATTAGTATTTAGTTCGGACGGAATGAACAGTTTACAGGATGACATGCATGAAGGAAAACCATCATTCCGAGATTGCAGTGCTGTAAAAAATGACTTTCGTAACGTGACTTTACCTTATTTCCTTAAATTAAAACGTTTTTACGCGGACAGAGGTTGGATAATTACAGGATATGAGACAAGCATTTAATTTATTAAATATTATTTTACGTGTGAAACAAGAACAAATTGTGCACATATTTATGAATGGTTAAAGCGACATAAGATATGTGTCGAGTTAAACGGTGACCTTGTTGAGAAAAGTTACATGTACTCGTATTATTAAACATTATTATCAAGAATTTTCCTTTTAGTGCTCCGGATAAGACTGTATGTAATTTTTTAATTTGATAAAAATATAACTATTTGTGCTTTGTTTTTGTTGACACCTTGCATGTTGATAAAATGAAACATGAATTTAATGAAAGTAATAGTTTCATATATTTCATCAATACTTGTCAGTAATTATCAATGTTGTCCACGAACTTTAAGGACAACCCTTGTACATATGTACCCAAAAAAATTCACAGTCAAAGGTATTTTCTTGGAGAAGATATCCATTTATTTTGAAATTCCGAAGTCCTATTCTTTCAAATATATTTGTAAAGATTATTAAAAAAAATTAAAGAATGAATGTTCTTACAAAATAACTAATTATGTATGCAAATGTAGACAATTTTACGGCAAAGTCACGAATTTTTGTAAAATATATAGATGATTCAGAAAAAACCACGGATAACCAAAATAAATAACAGTTATGAACTGTACAGACATCAGTAAAATAAAAATTTTAATTGCACGATTCTTGCAGCACGTTCCAAGTTCTTATTAATACTTTGAAACTCTTCCTTTCGATATCGAAATTAATCAACAACATGTTTCCAAGTATGCAGCGTAGGGTTGATCATGATCAGAGTTTTAAACATTGTCTATATCAGTCCAACTTTAAAATAATGTTTGCTGACCCTTTCCAGACTTAAAGTGAACAAACTCAATCAATAGGTAGGTAGGTCAAAATCGATGTAAAATTCTGATATTCCTGGTGCATGCATAGAAATTATTTTTACCTAGATATATGAAAAATTAGGTAATCAGTTTTAAAGAGCTCACTTCAAACCATGCTGTCATTAAGTAAACCGCAGCAAGTTCTTAAGGCATCCGAAGCATGTCTCGCAGTAAGATGTTACATCCTTGCAAGTTTGGTCAACATAGGGCTTGTAGTTACTTGGAATTAGGATTTATACCAGTAACCTTAACTTGTTAACTTAACTAGAAAGTGTGATTAGATCCAGTCTCGGGTATATATCATTAGAGGCACTCTCCATGCAAGTTTGGTCAACATAGGGCTTATAGTAACTTGTAAGAAGGATATGGAGATAACGAACAGTTTTCAATCTTAAAGTCCATAAATCAATACAAAATAAGAGCAGATACGTACCCCCCAAACATCAGAGGTGGGATCAGGTGCCATGCATCCCCTGCCGACCGGTCATACCCGCCGTGTGCTCTTTGGCATGATCAGGAAATAACGGAAAAATTCGTTGTCAATTCAGTGTATAAATAATGGGCTAACAATTGGTATGAAAAACGTCAGTCAGCATTTGACTCAATGATAGATTGTATTTGCTGACAAGGTCATTGTGTCGACCATAGAACTTACGAAATGATGACTTTAAATGAGTCTGCTGATATTATTCTTTCGTCAACTTGCTTGTCAATTATTTACCTCGTTTTAGAAATTGTTTATACGTAGAGCATGCTCTTACGTATCGAATCAACTGAGATATATATACTCCATATGCAGGTGATGAAGGTATATTTCTGCATAAGTAAGGGAAGTTGACGATAGAAAAGTTATCACGTTTATCATCACTTGTAAATGAGACCTGCGCCAAAACCATTAAACATGTTTATTCAACCGAAGTATGTAGGTCAGATCCAACATCTGATAAAGCCTGGTAGTATGCATCCTTAGATGTATAATCCTTGCAAGTTTTAAAGTTTGGTCAACGTTAGGTCTTACATTTAGTTGGAAGTAAGACTTTTACCAAAAACTCGAACCTGCTCCAAAAACTTATATCTGGTCATTACCTTTGCTGAAATTGCGTCTTAAACCTTGCCTGATACCATTAAACACATAAAAAGCGTCTTCCATCTATATCTGACTTATGTAGGGCATATAAGTACTTAAACGAAAACTGCTCTAAAACTTTAACCTGGGACACCGACGCCGACAGCATCACATAAGCTTCCCCAACCTCGTAGAGATGAGCTAAAAATGTTAAGCAGAGCAATGTATAGATTTTAATCAGTCATTCAGGAGACGACAACAAATCAATTATTAAAAAATATATTGAATTGATAGAAATAAATCAGCACACTTAATTCTTTAACATTCATTGCTTATTGTCGCCCGCGTGGTTATACAATCTACGTGAAGACAGGTCCTTCGGATGAGACCGTATAAACCCAGGTCATTTGTCACAGTGGGTTCTGACACAGAAAGGATTCCTCCCTAGCTGCTAAATGACCCTCAGTGCCGAATACTGTATATTTACGTTTACCAAGAAATTTACATAAAATGATAAAATAAACGCAATTTAACTGATTGTCAGAGAACACCCATGCACTCAAAATGTTTTACCATCTGTATAAAGCTAAACATTTGACACTTTCAATATCTATTATCAAATGGAAATCAATCATATTTTAACGAATATGTTCTGTTTTTCCTTTTCAAGATTACTTTGTATATTGGCTGCAAACCATAAAAACGTACTGTGATGACGGAAAAACGAAGGAAGCAAAAACCAATCCAGTTATCATCATAGCTTCACATCACGACTGTGTACAGGTTGATATTCAATACATTAATCTATTGTACATGTACGAGGGGTGATCAAAAAATTTGCGAACTTATTGAATAACTTCCATAAAAGAAACAATATTTGGTTTCAATATTGATTATATTTTAAAATAATCTACTCCAATTTTAATGCTCATTAACCACCGTTCTGCGCATGCGCGAATCCCGTGATATTGGCGGTTACGTGACCCCCTCCGTAGCGTTCTGTCACAAAAGTTGAAAGATTTTTCTGAGTGTTATATTTCTTTCCATGTAAGTTAATTTTTATGACAATAACAGTTAATCTGTCAGAAATGATCAAATCTCGGCAACAAAGTGGATGGATAAAAGTATCCTTTCCAAAAATAAGCATGGCGACCATTAAAACACAAATCTTCTATCTCGGGAGAGACCTTTATCAAGGTGGATAGAGAATGGGTGCCTCTTTTTAATCATATCTAATATATCTAAAATCTAATGTAAACGATATCTTAGGTATTTAATAATTATATTATTGTTCAAATATTCAACTATTTTTCAAAGTGTTAATTGGAGGTCTTAGATAGCAAATTGCTTGATTAAAAACACATATCTTTTCAAATTTGCTTTCAATGGGCAAAATGACTAGTATCAATTTAAAACCATCTGTCTTCCTTTACTAAAACGATCAATCCAATCGATAATTGAATTTATAGGAACTTATTTATCTTAATAAACCTTGTACAAATCATTATATGATACTGTAGAGCGATTTCTAAGATATACAGTAAATTGTACAGTCGTTTGTTGAACGAGTTCGACTGAGACAACCATTTTTCGTCACAAGTGACCTACATAGTGACGTCATTTTCAAATTATGACGTCACACATAAGAAGAAAAACTTTATTTAGCATATGCTATTTATAGACCTTGTGTATGGCTAATGTGTGTACCGAATTTCATTCTAATCTGAATTGTGGTTTTGTAGATATAGAGATAGTTTGCGAACTTTTTGATCACCCTTCGTATCTCTGCTTCATCTAATTATCATTGAATTCTACCTCAATTAGTGCGATCTACTTGAATCAATTGTAAAGTCTGGGCGTTTTGTTGTTTTTATCGGATATACCTATCCATTCTGTCCATTGCGTATTTAAAAGCAGAGCAAAATTCCTTGGCTTTGTCGGGATGCGCAGATTGCATAAAAAAATGTATGGTTGTGCATTGTCAGACTGAAATACAGCTCTAAATACTGCATAACTGGAGGACTTATATTCTCTTTCGTTTCGCTCAGACGAACATAAATTATTTAATATTCTCTTTACATATACAAAAAGAACTCAGACACAAATATAGAGGAGGCGACAATGATAGCCAAAATTTTATAAATTGATTTGTACAAGAATTAAACAGAGCTGTGCATGAATCATACTTTATCTTTTAATTTTTACAGAAAAAAAAAAGAAACTTAAAATGATCTGCGCTGCAAAAACGGAGACTGATTTCTATGACAAGTTAGAGAAGTGTTTACCAAAGAAACACATACTGAGAGGACTCATTTCACCGCAACGTTACTTTGAAATCGAATGTCCACAGAAAGGTTTGAATGGTGATCAGACAGAGATTATCGAAAATGTCAGGAAATGCATTGTGCAGACTGTACGAGGTCTTGCACATTGGAATGAAAATATACCTTTCATTTGGTTAAAGTTTGAGCAGTTTATCAGAGAAAACAGAAACAAGAGGATTCTTCGAAAAGGAGAAATACAAAACATACCAGAATTTTAATCTTTGAAAGAAAATGAGATTAACGATATGCTCAGATATTTTAAAGAGATAGGCCTAATAATTTACTTCATAGACGATGGTCTCAAAGAAAATATTATAGTAGACGTCCAGTGGTTTGTAGATGCATTCAAGAATATCATTACTGATCCATGTCATGCGCACTCAGTTTGCAAAAGTGTTCAGGAATGGGAGATATTCATGAAAACAGGAAGAATATCTGATTCAACACTTGTCAAGGTATGGGGGGGAAACTCATCGCATCTTCCCCTGAAAGATGTAATTATACCATACATGGAAAAACTTGGTATTTTGCTATAATGCGAGCGCAGGAATGTGTTGGAGAGAAAATCCCAATTATGATTGAAAATTTCTACTACAAACCTCGCCTTAATAAGACTGATTTCTCAAAAGAGCTCATGAAACAAAACATCAACAAAACACCCATTTTAGTATTTTCTTTCAAAACTTACATCCCGCATTTCTTTTTCTTCAGACTTGTAGCTTTGTGTTTCTCTGTGTGGGAACCATTAGGTGATGACCTACTTTGCAAAAATGTTGCTTTTTTCAAAGATAAAGGTGGTGACCGATATATTGCCATTGCAGTAAACAAAACGTCCATTCAGTTGCAAGTGTTTACTCCAGATGATAAAATCCAGCTAATAAGAGACAAAACGAAACAGATCAGATCAAACATTGAGGGGATGATGAATGACATAACATCCACATTCCACAACAAAGTCCTCTTTGAACTCGGATACACATGTAAGGAAATAAATATCACTGATGAAGATGAAGATTATTTCTTAAGTAAAACAGAAGTTGCACAACTGTCAACCAACAAAAGAATTTGCCCAAACACTCTGTCCCGCAAAAATCATGAGAAACACGATATCGTTCGTGATGATCTGCTGTATTATCGGTACACAGTAAGTAATTTACACAATAAAGTTAAAAAATTATTTCGAAATGTTAACAGAATGAATTAACTACTATTTGCAACTTACCAATTTCGTCTATAATTTACTTATTATTTCTGATATTATCTCAGATATCCTTCCCTTTGAATATTTTAAGTTTTTTTAGGATAATAATTGAAGAATCAGAGCAGACAGCGACCATTGTTTCAGTAAACACACAACAGATTTAGTGTCTCTAAAATTCAGAAAAGTGGATAATTCTGAACATTCTTTACAGCAACGTAGAATTCGTTCGTATTTATTATTGTCGAATAAAAGTATGTACATTTTCATTTCCTAGTGATTAAAAACTGGAAAATTGTAACAATGTCTAATATGACCCTTCGTTGACCTCCCCTTGGTGAAGACATAGGGTTGATATTGGAGTAATAACAAGAAAGTATATTTTTTACCTTTACATACATGTATATATATTTTTTACAGAACCTTTATTTGCAGTACTTCATGTGCATTTTAACTTGACCCTTTCTTCATCTCTTTTACAAATACTTTATTGCATATATAAGAAATTAATTATAGTTTTTAACAAAAGTTTGAAAAAATCATTTTTTTTAATATCGTTTAATTTTTTTTCAGCCTACTTATGTATCTGTTGATAAACGGTTTAATTGAAATTACGTATATATATGAAACAAAAGTACAATGTGCCTACGAACTGAAACTTGCTGTAAAATGATAATTTTTGGCAACAACATGATTTCTTGTTTATTAAAAGTTATATCTTATACTTTACATGTTATAACTAAAAAAAACAAGAGGCCCATGGGCCACATTGCTCACCTGAGCACTGTGGCTAGGAAAAAGTAGAAATTGGTTTATTATTTAATAATTTAAATCCAAAAGTAGTCCCAATACCAATCCTGGCTTTGCTATTCTTGATAAGATGATTTTTAAAGAATTTTCCTATACATGTATATGTCTATGAAAAACTTTGGTCGGCCATCGTGGCCCCGCCCTACTACGGGGGTCATGATTTGAACAAACTTAAATCTACACTACCTGAGGATGCTTTCATATAAATATGATCAATTAGGACTTTGTTATTCTTGAGAAGAAGATTTTTAAAGAAATTTCCTATATATTTCTTTGTAAAACTTTGGTCGACCATTGTGGCCCCGCCCTACCCCCGGGGGTCATGATTTGAACAAACTTGAATCTACACTACCCGAGAATGCTTCCATATAAATATGATCAATTAGGACTTTGTTATTCTTGAGAAGAAGATTTTTAAAGAAATTTCCTATATATTTCTATGTAAAACTTTGGTCGGCCATTGTGGCCCTGCCCTTCCCCCGGGGGTCATGATTTGAACAAACTTGAATCTACACTACCTGAGGATGTTTCTCCATAAGTTTCATCTTTCCTGGCTCAGTGGTTCTTGAGAAGAAGATTTTTAAAACATACCATCAAATTTTCATTAATTCCCAATTATCTCCTCTTGAATGAGGGCCTGGCCCTTCATTTGAACAAACATGAATCCCCTTCAATCAAGGATGCTTTGTGGCAAATTTGGTTGAAATTGGCCCAGAGGTTCTTGAGAAGAAGTCGAAAATGTGAAAAGTTTACAACGACGACAACAACAACGACGACGACAGACAACGGACAAATTGTGATCAGAAAAGCTCACTTGAGCCTTTGGCTCAGGTGAGCTAAAAAGTTAATAAATAAAGTGTTTCATTTTCGGGTGATAAATGAACAGGCTTGAAAATATATTGATTTTGCATAATATTATAGTGCATGCATGTAATCAAATGCTTTATATTCCAGAAAGAAATTGCAGTGACTCTTTTGTAGATACTTTTTGCATTAAAACAATCATACTGTACTATTTTGTCAGTCTTTATTTTATGAATAATTTAATTTTGATGACAATTTTTATGTAAAATGAATTTGTGTAGAAATAACACCAACATACATGTATATTAAAAAAAAACTTATTAGTTTGATGCTTGTGTCAACAATTATTACAATGTTTTGTGCACCTCATCTGGTAGAGGTAAACGCAATTTTTACAAAAGCATATTACATGTAGGTAACACTTAAATTTTATCTAATGAAAATTTCAAATTTACAGGGTATTAATCAATTGGTAAAATTCATTCATTTCAACCAAAATTTCTTACATTCTTTGCACTCAGCGTGATGGAAGAAGTACAACAGCAGAATCTGAAATTTCATTACATTATAAATTCATAATAGATTATGTTCATCTAACATATATATATATACATGTAAAATATGGACAGTGTACAATATTATGAAGAAAAATACTAGTATCTCCAGGGTTGTGGTTAACCATTTACATCCTACGAGCCATGTGGGCCCCTTACTTTTCAAAGTTTAGGGGCCCACAATGTGATTTACGGTCCCACATACCTCATCAACAAAATATTTGAAAATGCTGCTTGGCATACGTCTAGGTCAAGCAAGTGTTTGCATTGTATACAAATGTAATAGTTTGCACACGACACCAAAAGTCATGGTTAGCATAGTGTTTGCTAAGAAAAAAAAGAAGTGGATTATAAAAATACAAGCAAAGCACGGTCATGTTTCTGGGAACAAGACGCCCTCCATGTGGGCGATCAAATTTTGATTTCTTCATCGCCCACTTGAAATTTGGCGAGTGGGCGAGTGGTTAACCACAACCCTGGAATCTCAACTAATAAACCATATAATGTGTTTTTAATATTAAGGACACAAACATGCACTTTTTCTTCGATATCATATGTCTCTTGATGATTACTAGTAAGTTTTCAAATGCTCAAAATGCTGCTAACACATTATATTTCACTTCGGATATTTTTGTTTTGCTATTACTGAGAAATCCATAATTTTTCATGAGGAATTAATTTGTCTTGTTTTCGATGACATATTCGAATAGATTCGCAAAATTAAGCTTATCATGAAATGTAATGTAATTTTCTCATGAATGACATTTTTAGAAATCTTGTTACGAAAAAATCAATTCCTCCTGAAATCATTATTTACCCTTAAATACTAGTATTCTCAGGCCAGGACAATTTACCCTAACGAAAGTTTGATTTTACAGAAGAACAGTTTAAACAAGGTGCCTGTGTGCTATAACATGTACAATCATGCATGTTCATATGTTTAACAATTGTTTTTGTCCATTTTATTCCCATGTAAAAACATCCATTTTCTTAAGTCTTAGGGAGAACAACTTGAATAAATTCATCAATCTCTGTTTTTTTTTCTAAATCAACAGAAAGATTTCTTGACTTTAATCAAAACAACTACCACCTAATGCTCAGCTTCAAGGTGGCTGCATGTGTCCCATTCTGGTGATAAACTCTAGGAGATACATCTGTAGTCTGACGTCAATACTCTTGTTGGTGACATAGAACCCCGGAACTCCCGCCTTCTCCAACATGACCTGCTGATCCATCACCTTCTGATCTAGCTCCATGATTATCTTCATGTCCTTCTTCTTCACTTCTTCTTCACACCTCTTCTCCATCGTCTGAAAAAAGCAGAAGTAGATTCTTCTGAAGAATAAGATGCTTAAGTCAAAAATCTAAATTGACTATGATTTGAAATATACATCAGAAATCTATCAATCATTTGCAGATTGACTTCATTTATTTGTCAGTTGGAAAAGAAAATAAGATATTTTACTAGAAAAAAATATTAATGGTTATGTAACAACCAAGCTCTGTGAAGACTTAACTGTTTCAATCATCAAATTCCCTTACTTCTGCAACAATCTACCCTTGTGATTCGATATGGAAGAGCATACTCTAGGTATGAATAATTTCTAAAATAATGTAAGTAATTGACAAACAAGTTGATGTTGCAAGAATATCAAGAGTCTTGTTTAATGTCATTATTTAATAAGTTCTATGGCCAAAACAATGAGCTTGTCAGCAAATAAATCTCTCAGACGGCTACAGTGCCATCCACTGAGAGTAAAAAAATTTTGCATCTAAAAACTGCCCTGTATCTCAGTTGATTTCTATGTGTTCTTCAAACTGCAAGGTCAAAATACACATAACCATTTGTTCAAAACATATTCTTTTACTATTTCCACAATGAAACATTCTAATTTTATATAAGTTATGTCATTTTGGGTGGCAATATGTGTATGTCTTAGGACTTTTTGAAATTCAAGCTTTGCAGCAGTTGAAGTATACATGTAGGAATTAATAAATATTATTCCAGATAAGGGGCAAGTTGTTGTGCTCTATAAATATGATAGTTTTTTTCTATGACTGGTACTAGCCCTCTCATACATTTCATTCTTTTTAGACCAATGAACTAAAGATCTGCAGCTATATATAATTATATATAGAAAGCTAAATAAAATTTAATCTGTTTTGTAAGACTGGGATACATACAAAATGATCATGAAGACCGACCTTCTCAAGCAGTGTATAGTTATTTTTGTTGAATATGTATCAATACAGTGTATATTTCTTGAATGTCAATAACATTTCTGAATCCATTTGTATTCGACTTACCTCCTTCTCTCTCTCAATCTGAGCCTCCACTATGGGTAAATTGTGAGGCTTCATCTGACAGCTCTGTAGTAATTCTTTGTGTCTCTTTTGCAGCTCATGTCTCTGTGCTGTAAATGTAATTAAAACAAGAAATGTTTAAGAAATATATATTACCAATGTGGCAGTTTTAAAAGGATCAACTTTAAATTCCTTGGATTCCGACTAAAACCAACTGTACTCCTAAAAGGATGTCTTTGTTCCAAGTTGGTGTCTTTTATCTAAAGGAGGAGAGTAATTTGACTTTTGACCTTTGACTCTGTAACCCTTAAATCAATAGGAGTAATCTTTATAATGTACCAGCACAACAAGCTTGGTGTCTGTCAAACAAGAGGCACATGGGCCACATAGCTCACCTAGTAATTTTGGTCATGCTATTCTTTACCAGTTTTCCCCTCTGTAATATTAATTATACGGGTTCAATCAAGGGTGTATGGGAATTTACCCAGTGTTTTAGTCCATTCTTGAAGGCCGAAGTGCCAAAATGCCAGTATGGAAAATGCCGGTATGGAAAAATCCAATATCTTTTATTAGCAAATTATCAGTTTTTATTGATTTATAAATTGAATAATTTTCCACATTTTAAAACAGTTGTTTAACTGTTGAAATATGTCTGATATGCTGTTACACATCATAAAATGATTCTTTAATTTGTTGGAGACATGAATTAGAGTGAAAAATATAAAAATCCTGATTTTCTATTTAAAAGGTTAACAACTTTTAAATTAAGTGTATAATATGCAATCAAAGATTACGAAGCTCACCTCGACGAATGTTATCAGTTTAAGTAATGCAAATCTCACGTCATATTTTATTAATATTAAGTCTTCACCACAACAATATTCTTGCAAGTTGTGTTTAACCCCTTACATGGCATATACACATTTCTATGCGTGTAGCATGAAAAACATGTATCGTGTAAATAAATTTTCATAACTGTCAATACTACAGATATCAAGGACTTCAACTTGATTCGGATTGATCTGTTCCCAAAACTTTAACCTGATCTCTTGTATGGAAAATGTAGGTCAGATCCAGCATCCGAAGCAAGTCTGATAGTGTCCATCCTTAGATGCATCATCCATGCAAGTTTGGTTTAGCTCGGGCTTACAGTTTCTTGGGAATGAAAATGTAGGTCAGATCCAGCATCCAAAGCAATCTGGTAGTGTCCATCCCTAGATACATCATCCATGCAAGTTTGGTTTAGCTAGGGCTTATAGTTACTTGGGACTGTAAATGTATGTCAGATCCAGCATCCAAAGCAAGTCTGGTAGTGTTCATCCCTAGGTACATCATCAATGCAAGTTTTGTTCAGGTAGGGCTTATAGTTACTTGGGAATGAAAATGTAGGTCAGATCCAGCATCCGAAGCAAGTCTGGTAGTGTCCATCCCATGATGCATCATCCATGCAAGTTTGGTCCAAATAGGGTTTATAGTTCCTGTGGAATGGACCTGCTCCAAAAACTTTTACCTGGTCACTCATCTGGAAAATGTAGGTCAGATTCAGCATCCAAAGCAAGTTTTGTAGAGTCCTTTCCTAGATGCAACATCCATGCAAGTTTGGTCCAGGTAGGGCTTATACTTCCCTTGGAATAGACCTGCTCCAAAAACTTTAACCTGGTCACTCATCTGGAAAATGTAGGTCAGATCCAGCATCCAAAGCAAGTCTGATAGTGTACATCCCTAGATACATCATCCATGCAAGTTTGGTCCGGGTAGGGCTTATAATTCCTTGGGAATGGACCTGCTCCAAAAACTTATACCTGCTCTAAAAACTTTAACCTGGTCACTCATCTAGAAAATGTAGGTCAGATCCAGCATCCGAAGCAAGTCTGGTAGTGTACATTCCTAGATGCATCATCCATGCAAATTTGGTGCCAGTAGGGATTATAGTTCCTTGGGAATGGACCTGCTCCAAAAACTTTAACCTGGGACGCCGACGCTAACGCCGACGCCGGGGGTATAGCATAAGCTCATCTCGACTTCGTCAAGGAGACAAGGCGTAGAGTAAAAAATATAAAATTCCTGACTGTTTATTTAAAAGGTTAACAACTTTTGAATTAAGTGTCTTTTTGACTATACTGTCCTTTTAACTGTACAATGAGGTATTTACACAATGCATGACCAGGTCCATTAGCTCATTAGACTATTAAGGAGGCTGGAGGGTCAACAAATTAATCCCAAATTAACCACCAGATTTAACTAATTTTTTTAGATACGGTATCTTTAGCTGTGAACTATCATTTGACAAAGAAAAAATTCAAAGAATTTAGTTTTAAAATTTGATCAATTTCTATATCTTTATATGGAGCTCTCCTTTTAAAGGAGATTGAAATAGTCTAAAAATGGCTGCCACCCCCGAGCCTCGTTAATACACTTATCAAAAGTATGGTAAGTAATTGAATCATGCCTAGACAGTATGACAGTTTGCTGCCTAAAAATTTCAAAATTATTAAGACTTCAAGTATTGGAGTTACTGTATATACTCGCCTATAAGTCGGTCTTTTGGGAGTCAATCTCTGGTCCAAAACTCTGTGTCCGACTTATAGGTGAGCTATAAAAAGAATGGTATTATATGAGGTCAGTCCATCTGAAATACAAGTTTATTAAATACAACTGACTTATAGGCGGACCGACTTATAGGCGAGTATATACGGTACTTGTAAATGGGTATCCAATATCTGTGGTCATTGATGAGTTTAAGTACGTGTCTTACCTAAAAGTTTGTTTAGAATTAATGAATTTGACAACTGTGTTTATGTTTGACTCTCTGTGTGTATGTGTCTAATCTTTATGTAATGTAATTGACCTGGAGTTAGATACATGTATCATTGATGTATACATATGTCTAAACTTTGACTTTGTAATCATTGTTGAGTTTAGCTTACTATGCAAGTACCTTTGTGATCATTGACGAGTTTGACCCTCTGTGTATGCAGATGTCTCTCCTCTAACTGCTGGACTTCCTGTAAACTGCGGACGATTTCAAACACCGTACCATCCAGCAGGGAGCTAGCCAGGCCTGACAGAAGGTCATATGGGAGTCGCTGCTGATATTTACTGAAAGATAATCAATACATATAGCATAATATAAATACTATTACTTTAGTTTCGTTGTTTTTAACTGGATTTCTATTAGAATTAAGATAATCCAACACTGTCCAATATCAAATATGGTTGTCATCATTGCAGATCAAGATTAAATGCATTCAATAATTGAGTTGTAAGACCTAAAGCTTTTAAATTACATAAAATAATCAAAATAGTTAAATTATTAAATCAGAATATCCATGGTACAAAGTCTACACTAGATAGAATGTTCTATCGTTAAAATGATATTGTCCTACGGACCCGGTTTAACGATAGAATTCGTTCCGTGTATTCGTAATGTAGCAGAAAGAAACACAGCGATAACTCGCATAGTGCATTTACTACTGTCTAGGAACAATCTAGAGAGTTCCGAATGTAAACATGGCAGGTAATTTGAATCGAGAGAAAAACGTTGAGAAAATTAATTGGATTTTCGTCTTTATATGGATTATTTTTTGGTATAAAAGGCATAAGCAATCTCAAGAAGGTTTGTTTTGATTATTTTGGTAGTTATTCCCAGTGCAAATCATTTTATATTCTTCAAAATCGTTTCGGAGCGATTCTGCAATTTTTTGCAACATTGTGAGTATATGGGTGGTATTCTAACTGTGGTGAGGGCCTGTACCGAGACACAGTTAGATTATTCTAACTAAGTCTACACTTGCAACTCTTTTGTGTATTCCACCTCACAAGTGCTTTAAGAGGAACAACTTGTACCCTTTCTTTTTTCTTTGTCCAAAATTTTGTTTCTCAAAAAAAAAAAATAAATAAATAAATAAAAAAGATAAAGAGGATTTCCTATTCTTATCAATTTGGTGACGGTCCTACTAAACAGAGTACGCTAGTACGATAGAGTACTTTAGAGTATGCTAGTAATATTTTATAATTTAATGCAATTAAACTAATTTTTATATGTTTTTCTACATTAGTCTAACATATTGAATATATATTTTAAAAAAAAAATTGTAAATTTTCTGTATTTTAGGAGTTATTTCAATTTTTGATTTCAGGTTACGGTTCATCGTTTGATCCCGATATAATTTAAGTTAAACATGTTAAACTGTCTCATTGTGAATGTGAAAAATATTTACACATGCAATTAATTTAATATTTGATAAAATTTAATGTAATTCTTTAGTGAGAAAGTCTGAAACAATATAGTAATCAAGATTTGGGTATTAGCTATTGGAATACCGTAATCTTTAATGCGTTTAATTTTGGATGTTATTTCTTGTCAAAATATCGCTAAAAAACAAATATTTGAAACAAATATTGGAAAATAAGTTTAAAATAATGTTTAATCAAGTTGTACATACATAAATAAACAATTTAATTGCTTTAAATAACATAATTTTTCTAGCGTACTCTAAAGTACTCTAATGTACTCTAGCGTACTCTGTTTAGTAGTACCCATTTGGTGACCATTGAACATGTTGAAAAAGTTATATTGCAGGTTTAAAAAGACTGAAATTACAGTGAAAGAAAAATTAGATAATATATTGATAAATTCTGAAGTCTTCAGTTGGTAAGTAGCTAATCTATCCTCCTTTTTTTTGAGTATTTCCCACTGAGGTGCCGAGATTTTGAATCGTCTCTCAAAGTTTCCACTTTATTTCTTTTAAGTATTTCAGAGTACTCACTGTAAATTTTTTAGGTTAAATTTTAGTCTTCAATTAACACAATATGAGTGTGTCATAGAAAAATACCTTATTTACATGTATAAATAAAAATGTTGAAATACCCCTGGGTTAGAGAACATTGGGGGGGGGGGGGCAATCACCCGTGTGTTCACGTTTCCAAAAAAAGAAATGCATTGTAAATCCCTTATTTACAAATTATTGCCCTCTGTTATCACAGATATCATCTCTATGTACCCCGGTAACTCTCGGGCCATGTTTTGAAGCTCGCTCTGGTAAAAGTAGAGACGTTTTTGTTGACTTTCCTTCTTGGCTATTTCCTCTTTCCGCCCGGATATTTCCTCCCCTGTATTAGGGGGCTTCTGTGAGGAGTCAACTCGTCCTGCAGGGGAACTCTTAAACCGAGCACTTCCCGGTAAACTGTGCATTTCATCTATTTATTGTGGATCATCATTTTTCAGAACGAACACATCACCGGATATCAAATTGACAAAGTAATGGTAGAATAAATCAAGCTGGTCGAATAAATTCCGGATATTGGCAAGCGATAAACGTAGTCTTCCCGACTCCTGACTCAAAAGATCTAAAAAGTTTACGTACTCTTATCATGTTTTTGCTACAACCAGGTATGATCTAGGATCTGGAAATTTTTAAAGAGGCGGGGGATGAAAGTTTTGCATATACGTACATGAATGTAAAACGACGATTTTTAAAAATGACACAACACAGGGACTAAGTATTACCATTTTTGAAAGGGAGGGGGGATTTCAGAGAACAAATGGATTGCCTCAAATTTTCAATGACAAAAATAAGGAAAATAAATAAACCCCCCCCCCCCAAAAAAAAAATCGTTTACCGGGGAGCGGGTGCATTTTTTTCCGCCAAACTTCAGACATTTTTTTTAATTCTGACAACTGAACGGCCAATGGTGTCTCAAGTTCTTCTGTATTTGGAGATGTTAATTTTAGCAAACACTACTTTAACATTTCTAAAATAAGGGAAATTATATTTTTTAATTATATATCCTTTGTTTTAGTAGAAAGCTGTAAATCAAACTAAAGTTTTCAAAGAAATTAAATTGGACAAGAACCCCGTAATCTGGTCCTAGTATGTGCAATTGTTTGGGAAGCGAGTTTCAGCCTGGATAAATTAGTCCGTAGAGTACCAGTCCTTACTACATGTTCTACTGATGCAGGGTTGTCGGGTTCAATTCAAAATCGATCAAAACATTTTCTCCTTTTCTTTAAAACAATGTTGCTAGTGACTGTCCTTAGCATGCAGGTTCAGAGACGCGGCCGTAGTACTAGTGGGATTTGGGAAAGGTAGCTATTTTCCAAATGTAACATTGTTCTATAGAAAATGATGTGAATTCAAAGTCCAGTTGCAAACCCACTACCACCACCACCAATTTTGTGTTGTTGCATAATCAAAAGTGGTTAATATAGCATATATCAATATGCCCCCTCCCCATATAACTTGAAGTCCAAGGTTCATTACTCTATCCACATTGGCACGATCATACCCAAAACAGAACTTGGTCTAGATATTATGATTAATTTGGATACTCATGTACCTAAATTTTATTTCAATATGTGCAAACTCTGTGAAGAAAATGAACGGAAACTAATGGTGGACTGACAGACCGACCAACAGCAGAAAAATATATCCCCTCCCTTCTTCGAAGAGGGCATAAAAATTGATACTAGAAGTTTTAACACCCCCCCCCCCCCCCCCCCCCACACACACATTTTCAAAAAAGGATGCGCTACTTCACCGAGACGACAGAATAAGAACATGGGTTGCGTTTTCTAGGTCAAAGACAATTTAGGGGATGGGGTGGGTGGGTGTGGAAGGATTCAATTGTTTGTTGCCATTTAAATGATCGATATGCCTGGCATGGATAGCTTCGTTTCTAAAGCACTAGCCTAGTAGGGTCACTGCATGGAGCACCAGGTTAGATTCTGTTGTCCTTTTCCGTTATATTTTTAAACACAATGTCTATGACTATGATTCTTATACATATTGTAACATGATATATTCAGGATTTACCCATACTTGCATAGTTTTAGCAGAAGACCCAACAAGACAGTAATACATCCCATAGCAATATGTTTTTGACCTTTATTCAACATGTTCAAAGAGCTAACTGAACATAATTTATAAATACTGTATGGAGGCAAGAAAAATGACATGCATCAATTTATTTGTTTTCTAAATAAAAGTAAAAACCTTTAAAAAAAAATACTAAAAAGACCCTTCTCAGGGCATAAAAATTATCCTATCACTTTAACATCCATAGAATCCGACTCAGCGTTGTGTCCCACATCAGGATGGTACTTCTTCACATGAGCTTTAAGAGAAACATTGTGGTTGAAGGCTTTTGGACAATGCTTACATTTGTAAGGTTTTTCACCCGTATGTAAGCGTAGATGTTTCTGAAGTTGATCCTTTTCATTGAAAGACTTATCACAATAGGGGCACTTGCATTCCCTTGTCTGACTATGCATTCTTGCATGCCTCAATGTGTTTCGGGTAGGGAACCGTTTACCACATATTTCACAAACATAGCTTCTGTCGTCCCCAGTGTGAACTTTGCGATGACTTTCCAATGTTGATAAATGATTGAAATTTCTTCCACACTCCTCACAAGTGAATTTTCTTTTACTTCCATGAGCTGCAAATTTATGGTTTCTTAGATCTTGTTTTTCCGAAAATGGTTTTTGGCAAATGTTACAAGTGAATTCTTTCTTCAATTGTTCTAAATGCTCCTTTTGCATATGCTTTTTTGTTTCCCACATATCCTCAAACATCTTTCCACAATATTTACACTTGGACGGAGTACTATGGTATCTTTCAAAATGTAAATCCAACTTCACTACATAATTTCCACACAGATTGCATCTACTTTTCTTGCCTTTCTGTGTATTCTGCATTAAATCCTTCTCCTTGAACTTAACCCTAATCTTTTCATCATCTTTCAACTGTTCATCATCAAAGTCATTTGAGTTGTTATCTCCTGCACATTTCAAATTCTCTGAATCATTGGTATCTTTTCCAATTGTTGAAGATTCTCTAGATTGTTCATTGAAGTCTTTAATGTCTGCTCTTCGAGTCTCATTTTCCTTTTCTTGAGAACAACTACCAGGTGAACTGTCCTCATTTTCACTCTTTTCTAAAGTTCTTGCTTTGCACAAGGAAGAGGAGACAACAGGCTCTGTATCATTATCTAAAACTAATTTAAAACTTCTGAATGGACGGCACTTCTGACCTGGCATACTTGCCTTGAATTTCTTTGGCTGCTGTATGTTTTCTGCTGTTTTCTCACATGGGGATCTGGTTTGCAGCAATACACTATTTGGCTTATTGTCACATAATGTCTTGTCAGATGCTATTTCATTGTTGGAGTCACAGTTGGATGGTACTGATACTGTGGAAGTCTGGGATAAAACTGGTACTGAATTCATCTGAACTTTGCAAGCAGGAGTACAACTTGTGCTCTGAGCTGACTGAGAAATATTTGCTTGGTTGACTGATCCAGAATTGATTGAAGCTGATGCTGTGTAATTCTGTGATAATACTGACAGTGAATTCTGATGAATTTGGAAAGCAGGATTACTGCTGAGACAGAGTATGCCCTCATTCTGAGAAATGTTTATCTGATTGACAGAATTGGTTGAAGTTGATGCAGTGGGAGTTTGAGATAATACTGACACTGAATTCATCTGAACTTGGAAAGCAGGACTACAGGTTTTACCCTTAATCTGAGAATGGTTCGCCTCATTAATAGATCCAGAATTGTTTAAAACTTGTGCTGCAGAAGCTTGAGATGCTGCAGAGAGTGAATTCTGATTCACTTGGAAAGCAGAATTACAGGTGGTGCCATTTGCCTGAGATATGTTTGCTTGATTGATCGATTGAGAATTGGATGCACTTGGATCTGTGGATGTCTGTGGTAAAACTGATAGTTGTTGGCAAGTAGGACCATTTGTGACAGCCCCTGTCTGTCCAGTGTTTGTCAGTAACATTGGCTCCTGTTTTGTCTGAATTATGTTGTTATTTAAACCATTTACAGTTTGTATCACTTGTTGTCCTTGTAAAAATGGTGTTTGCATAAAAAATGTTCCTTGATTGCTTTGGACTGGGTTCAGAGAACCAGTGTTAGCTAGTACAGGTTGTACAGCAATTTGAGGTATAAAGTTATACACAACTGGATAAGGCGTTCCGACAATCTGAACAGGGTTTCCATTGTTAAAGTAAACACTCTGCTGTTGGTTGCTGGGGTTAGCATAATTAGCATTCATCAGGAACATTGATGGAGCCTGGGCAGGCATTTGGATTCCTGTTGAAAAATTTATCCTGATGTGAAAGTCAGACGAAGGAGTTGATTTAATTCTTTAATCCGCAGGAAGTGCTGCACTATTCAACCCCTGAAATAATAAAATTAAACATTTTTTGATATTAAATTGATAAGCCGATGTAGCTTTTTGCACTTTTTTGCAAATATATATGTTCATATAAATATATAAAGGCATTGAAAATTGGGGTTTACCTTTTCTTAGTTGGTTTAGTCCCTCCCCCTACACTTTCAATCAGTCCCCCTCTTTAAATTTGATTCCGATACCTATGAAAAAGACGGGAATTTATGTAAATAAATGCATTTTTCTGATTTCTAAATTATCAATTGATAAAGGACATGTGAATTTCCTGAATAATGATCTGTGTGCATACCTGTGTTATCTGACCAATGAGTGCAAACCTGTGTTATCTGACAAATGTAAAAGCACAATATATAAGGAAGGTCAGAGTTCACATTCCTTGTACATCGTATTGGAAGTTTAATTGTGACGTCATTGAAATTTAGCAAGCCATAAAAATTAATTAACGGCATGATCATGCGTAAATAATAACTTGAATTTATTCATTTTATCGATTATTCATAAAATCTTGTAAAATTGCAATACTTGATAGCGATACAGTTGAGTAATAGAAGAAAGCCTTTCGTCAAATATGACGTTATCAGTCTTGACATGACGCAGCACAGTGATCCAGAGGACCAGATTCACTGGTTTAATAATTAGGCCTACAAGAATTCTAAAGTAAATATTATACCATTGCTAATTTTTTAACCTAATCATTAAAACTAAAAGAAAATAATTTATTAAATACAATGTAGAATATAGAATATAGAATATGAATTTATCTTGTAGCATTGAAGCTGCACAGGGATACGGAATGTAGAGAATATCGCTAAAACGATGAGCGTATTAATAATTTACATCAAAAGTGCAAGGGCATAGACTATTTTGTTTGAGATGAAATTTGGAATATTTATTGCTCATATAGTGTATATTTTGAAAAGTGCTGGGAGCTGATCCTGGTTTGCATAACAGTAATTTTATTTATAACAGAATTTAAGCGAAGTTGAAATTTTTAGCTATTATAAGAATTTTCGGCAAAATTATAAGTACTTAACAAACAGCACTGA